CATTTTTTGAAACTCTGTTGTCAGTACTAAGCAGAATAGTAAGGAAAAACCCGCAGAACACAACAGTCAGTGTTTTTGCACAGGCTTGCATCAACACTGTGCTTAACCCTTGAATCTATTAATACACACTGCTTTTTTTTTTTAATTTTAAGGTGTGCTTTGTTCATTCTCTGCCACTATCACAACCAAACTTCAGAATTCTGACTTTTAGGTTATCAAAGAAAACATACTAGTAAAAAAATAGTAAAATACATTTTGGAACGATATTTTGGTTTAATATTGCCTTGCTGAACTTCAGGTTTCTGTTAATGCCAGTTTTCACTGCACATGATCCACAGATCTTGCATTCTTTCTTGAGTCTTTGACATTTTTATTGTTTGTTTACCATTTTGCTATAGCTATCACCAAGACAGACCGAATCTGTTTTCCCTTTTCAAATGATGCCCATTTGTGAGCCTTTGATATCACTATTATTACATACTCAGCATCTGAAAATCAAAAAATGTTGCCACACATAGAACTATTCAGAAACAGCTCTGATATGTTTGATAGTAACCACTGGGCAGCTCAGCTATCATGATTTTCCCTTACAGGCAGTCATAGTCTCAGGCTGCTTTTTATGGCCTTGATTCTCCCCTGTGACTGATCACAGTGCATCCTACAGTGACATAACTAGCATGCCTGGCCCTGCTCTTCCAGGATAAGCTGTATTCACTGCTTCTGCATGTGTCCAAACCGCTCACCTGCCTTTCTTTGCAACAGGAAAAGTGGACACAGCTTATTCTAGTCATTGCACAGAGGCAGAAAGAAAAGGCCAGACCAGAGATTGGCTCTTGGAGGAAGGCTGGTCTCCCGGATCATACGGGGAGGCTGAAATGAGGCAAGCTGGAAAGAAAAAACAAGTCAGTATAATGTACTATGAACCCTGTGCCTACAGTAACACCTTACAGCCTCCTCTTCAATCCTGTCATGTGTCCTGAGACAATATCTCTCTTCTCACTGGTGCGCAGGGGCAACAAAGAGAGACAGCACAGCAATATATTTCCTATGACCGACACATACAACATCAGCTTTAAGAAGTTGCCGAGTGGCTTAAAGGTTGAATTCCATTCAATACATAACTCAGGTCTTGAGGAAAAGATGCTCTGATCCACCTCATGGTGCTCCCACTTCTCTTGGCCTGTGTGCCCATAGCTCTCCTTCCTGCTGCCCGCCACGCTCTACCTCAGTGTGCAGTTTTAGCAGAGCACTGCAGCTTTCTCACCACTGTTTCCACCTCCTGTTCTCAGGATCAACCCTTCTTCCCAGTGTAATTCACCTTCCTCTCATAACCTCTCCTAACTCATACCTGAAACAAGATTTTCCAGGAGAAAACACCTTTCCTGGGGAGAAAAGGAAGGAAGGGAAAATGCATCTTTCTAAGATGAACTAACCCATGAACTATATTTATTACAATACCAACAAGCAGGATCTAATCTTCATTATTCTGAAGGCTGCACAGTGAAGCACAATCTCTGCCCAGCAGGGCTCATATATATAAAATATACATATATATATAGGTATATGTGTACAGGTGGAATATCTGTTCTTTCATAAAGCTGACAGAAAGGAAGGACAGACGCCACCAACTCAGCTTTGCTGCTGTGCAACCAGACAGTCCTCATCTGTAAAATGCAATGGTTGTCTCAGTACCTCAGAAAGGAGATTGACTCAAACATTGCAGATGTTTTAGAGATCTACAGATACCTATATCATAGAATATCTATACTAGCAGAACTAGGGGAGTAAAATTGTTGTTTATAGACACAGGCTCAATGTTGATCTATGGTAGAAGGCTTCCACTCACAGAGCCCCTGAAAACACAGAACTTCGCTAGGCACCAGTAGGTCTGGGCATCCTTCCTTCTACGACAGGATGCATATCAGCAAAGTTGCAGCCTTACTAGTGTAACCAGTGATCAGCACCAAGTTTCCAACAGCACCTCCACACCGGGCAGAAATCTGTAACAAGGACCTCAGGTTCTATTAAGAATAAGGCCACTCAAAGAATATTTCCAGGTACTTTTGATTGTTTCACCTGTAACTTTTTGTTATTATAGAGTATATTATCAAGCTTATACATACTTGTTCTCTGGTAGCTGCCCAGAATTCCAACATCAAGGACAAAGTCTCTTTTTCTTGACACTTCTCCTTCCATTCCAGCTGTACAGGTTAGGTTGTCATAGCAATGAATTGGGTAATTTGTTTCTTTTATTAAGTGAATATACAAGTGTAGCCAGTGCAGCCACCTTGTGGCTGCTTTAAAAAATGACCACATTCAACAAGTTACAGGTCTGTTTATAATCCAGACTCAGGCCTTGAACCACAAAATAAATGATAAAAGTTCAGATCATCTCATGGTTTCTGCAACCTAGAAGAAACATATCCTGATATGAACCAGGATCTTCTGCTCCCTGAGGAAGAGGCACTTCCTGTTCTGAACTAGGATGAATTTGGCTTTGTTTTGTTTTTAGGTAAGGAAAAGGCATTTGTGAAGGGGGTGCTTTTCAATTCCCTGTACCAATTTCTCCTCCAAATAGGACTTTTTTTTTTCCATCTCTAGGATAGTCACATCTGCTGGAATATGAGAAGATGCTACCAATTTCTCATTTTGTGTTAAATGGGAAAGGAGCCCAAACATCTCTGATGCCTAGAAAATACCTTGATCCTAATCCCCTCCCTTACAGGCTACAATATTATGGAATTTTAGTCTCTACAGTTGGATTCATTCTACCTTATACAAATAATAAGATATCTACAGGGTCCCAATAAGTAGCAGGCATTCTTGCCTCTCCTGCTCTTCACATTTTGGTCATATTCTGTGCAAGGCTTAATCTGCTGGCATACAACCATGCTCTGCACACAGGTGATACTTACAGGAAACCATCAGGTTTGCAGGTCCTGCAGGCACCTCAGCATGACCCTGGTAAGGAATTGGGAAGTTTTGCATGTCACCAATGGCAGAAACTTAAGTGCAAAGTGCTTTCTAGGCAAAAAGAAGTCTGGGATCAGTGGACGTCACACTGAGTTTCTGTGGCCACTTAAAATCACACACACTGAGGTTATGAAGAGGTAGTTTGGTATCTTAACATTCCCATGATCACCACACACACCTACGTGACTACAACTCATACGCTCTCTAGAAGCTAATCTATGGCTAGCATGGCTAGCTCTGCTTTAATACTGTATTCTCTCAGCAGAAGATTCAGGTTTCCTCCCACTTCCATTCACATCTCATATACTAGCCAATTAGTTTCTACATCCTCTCCTCCTCAACCTCTGTTAATGTCAAAACACTTTATATTTTAAATGCATACATACATATGTGTTTATAAATACACATGCTGGGGCAATTGCCCTCCCCTGTTTCAATTTTTTTCTGCTATCAAAAGCAATGTCCAGACTTCGCACCAATCTGGTACTGGAGTCATAAGGATTTCTTCTTTGCCTCTATTTAGCTATAACCCACCCTCTACGCATGAGCTTAAAACCACTCTCTACTACAAGGACTAGTTCTGCATCCCCTACAATATCCAAGGGAAACAGGGCATTTGATGAAACAGTGTTTAAAAACAGTAGACAGGGAATGGATTTTGACAAACAAACCATTTCCACTACAGAAGAGAAAGCTGAAATCATCCATAAAGGAAGAGATGAGATTTAAAAAGTTTCCTAGAAACTAGAAAACCCACCTAGACACTAAGAGCTTCATAGAGAATGCAAACGTGTGAGTACAACTTTCCTGCACTGTTGAAACTTTGCATGGGCATCAGATACATTACAATCAAGATATACACTTCCTTTTTATGTTACGGGCTCTTTCACACATACAGTCCAATCCCAATACACACATCTTTACCATAGAGCTAAACCCAGCCTTGACTAAAGCCAGTTCTCCCAAGACAAGCAATTGAGTTAACTTGGGCTAATGAGCAAATCAAGACAATTAATACATTTGCTGCAAAATGGAGGTAAAAAGTAAACAAGCTTTCATCAAAATTTAAGCTAAGGTATGCTTGTGAGAAGTCTTACGCCCAGCTTCCCAAAATTTTTAGCTTGTCCTAAGCAGACACAGCTGCCAAAAGGAGCCCTATCCTCTGCCCTCCTCATTCACAACCCTCACAGTACCTTTTCTCTTGCAGTACAGGCCTGAGTACAGTCAGTCTAATGGAGACCCCCAGATTTGGGGACCAGCACAGAGCAGTGGTAGACATGCCTGCTTTTTTCAACAGCAGTGCCAGTCAGAAGGATTTACACAACCACAGCCCACTCTCCTGAAGCCAAAAGCGCATGGTTCCCTCTTGTATCTAATCCCAATAAACATGGCTCACTACTGGAAGTCTCTCTTCATACCCTTCTGCATGAGACCTAGCATTATCTGACTGTAGAGCAGGTAGGTCCAATCTCCTGATTCTTCTTAGGAAAAGGAGATTCATTTTCTGTAGGATCAGTAACCAAAATGATCCAAGGCTGCTCCATCACTAGATCCAACACAAGGGAAGTAACAGGAGCCTGCAGTAAATGTTCTGGATCACTCACTGGGCCACTCAGCAGTAGGCTACAGTTATATTAGATTAAACATTGTGTGATGTTTAACTCAATTGCTTGGGGTGCTTTATTGCACTCAAAGCAACAGAAGTTATTCACTCACATGTCTCCACCTCCCCTATCTGAACACGGTCTCTGCAGTGAGAAGCGCTTTGCTGCTGCCCTAACTTACACCAGTCATCTCGTGACTATAGTTCCACGATTGCCTGTTACCAGAACCAGCAGGTTAGCGTGGATAACAATTCTAAGTTTGCAGTACAATAGCCCACCTTTTTGCTGGAATGTGTCATCCTGGCAGCAGCAGGCTCTTTAATCTGGCATGAAAATTTGTAACAAGACTTTGCGGTTAGAAACCAGGTTGGACAGATTCAGATAAGGCATTAGCGAGGGTAATCAGCTATTGGAATAATTTACCTGGAGAACCGGTGCAGCCTACTGCTTGATATCATGAAATCAAGACCGGGTACTTTTCCAATAGAATTTTGGATTTGATGCAGCGATAATCAGCTGTGAATGTAAATACCTGCAGGGGGTCAGAACAATTCATCAAATGGCTGAAATTTAAACATAAAAAATACATGATCACATCATAAGAGAGGGAAACAATTTCTCTCTGTATGGCCCAGAAACCACAGAGCACAGCTAGAAGTGAATTCTCTTCAAGTGTAAGTTCTTTATTAATAGATACAATAAGAGTTCAGCAAGGAAAGCTGAAAGAAATTACAAAAAAAATCCATCAGGCCTGGCTATCAAAATAAGCTAACTATGTATAATTTAGCTAAACAGCAATTAAGTAGCGAACATTGGGAATTGTTACTGGGAAAATAACATAGCAAAAAGCATAACTCTTAGAATCTTTTTATTATTATTTTTTCTTGCTATAAATATTTGATTCTGGTTTTGGAGATGAAATCACTTCCCAGCTGTTTCCCAAGTTTTGCTCAGAATAGCTAATTAACGCAATTCACATAACTACAATCTAACTACATAGAACAGCTCAATTTAAAACAATTTCTGGAGTACACTAAGGTTGTTTGTTACCCCTAGACAGCATATCAGCGCCTGAAACAAGAAGAATGAGACCAAGGATGAGGCTAGATTTAGCGGGAAGAAATTAAGAAAGGCCCATGGAACAGATTCCTACCAGCAAAGCCTGTCAGGCTGTGGAAGGGCTCCCCAGCGGGACCACACAAGTCCCATTTCTTAGGAGCGCAAGAGCAGAGGGATGCAGCGGGAGCCCCAGGGTAACGTCCAGACCCTTTCTGTCCCTGGCAGTTACATTGTGTAACCCCATTTATCAAGCTCACCAGGCTACTGTAGAAACAGCACCTGAAATACTTGCCTCAGTCAAGAGCTGGTAAAATATGTTCTATATGTAAGCCAGCTATACCGTTCCAAACATTAACAACTAACAATAATTTAGTTTGATACAACTTCAAGACTGATTTAAAGATGCCTCCGTCTCATCAAATTCAGTTCCAGTTCTGAAATCTGGGTCACCCATACATTATTTCTCCAACCCAAGCCACCTTCCATGTAACCCTTTAAATGGGCTCTGCCCTTATCCAAGCCATCTCTAACAAGCCACTTAGTTAAAATGAAACTTAAATCCATCAGAAAACGAGGTTACAAAGCCTCCATAAAAATGAAACAGCTGTGGCTTGGTCAGAGACAAGCTGGCACACAGTCCAAGGAGGAAGCAACAACATCTACTTCCAGCAAATCCTTGGTGGAGCCAGAGACAATTCTTTCCACACAGATGAGCTGAGGTCTCCTTCCCTGTAATTCCCACCAAGTTTGATCCAGGTCTTATCCAACTTCTGAGAACAAATGAAGCATCAAGCACAAGGATAACATTCGTGCTGGGGGCGGGACAAGTTGGACCAGGTAACACGAGTCCAAACACCCCCCAGAAGGTTGTTGGGGGCACCACGACCATGGCCAGGGCCACTACAGCAGCCAGGGACTCCAAGCAGGAGTAAGACAGGAAGTGCGTATGCAGCATCGGAGTATTGTGACTTTCATTCCTCCGCCTGCCCTGCTCTGACAGGCCATAAAAGTCACAAGACGCCAGCAAGTAAAGTAAAAAAAACAACAAGGTGTCCAGAGTTCAGATCAGCCCTGAGAGCGCGCGGCCTCTGCCCTCGGCGGCCCGCGAGGAGCCGAGCGCCCAGCAAGCGCTGTGGGCTCTCACCCGTGCGTGGGAGGCACTGTTTATGCGGGAAGACACTCGGATTGCTGGCAGCTGAACCCAGGACCAGGCCTACGCTGCGGGCCCTACCTGCTACAGGGAGAAGGGGGGAAGAAAGTGACCTCCTTACGGGCCACCGGACCGCGGCACCCCATCCAGGCCACCAGAAGCGTTGCAGGGTCTTGCCCTCAAGTTGGCCCCCGCTGGGGGCTGAGGCAAAGCCCCCCTTGGCCAGGGCGTCCCGAGGCAGGGACCTGCAGGGGCTCTCGCGGCCGCTGCTGCGAGCGGCCGTGCCCGCTCCGAGGGGCCGCGTCCCCCGGGCGCCGGCCCTGCCCTCGCGCCGCGCTCCCCACGGAGCAGCGCAGCAGGCCCCAGCGTCCCGCTCCGGGAGGAGCGAAAGCTCCTTTCCCTGGAGAGATCCCTCCTCCTCCTCCTCCCCGGCGGATCCCAAAATGGTGGGTCGCCCTGCCCTGCCCTGCCCCGCCGCGCCGACCCCGGGGACAGCGGCCCCCGCGAGGATCCCACGCCAGGCCGCGCCGCGCCCCGTCCCTCCGCAACCCGGCAGCGCCGGGCCGGGCCGGGCCGAGCCGCGCCGCTCCCAGCGCGCCGCGGAGCGGAGCGGAGCCGCC